ACTTGTTGACTTAGAATATGCTGATGACATAGTTTTATTTGGTGAAGACGCTGACAAAATGCAGAGTCTTCTGACCACTCTAAGCAACAATGCAAGCATGTTCGGGATGCGATTCTCTCCCTCGAAATGCAAAATGTTGCTTCAGGATTGGGTTACATCGACACCCGAACTAGTGATAGGGAGTGAAGTAGTTGAGTGTGTCGACCGCTTCACTTATCTTGGAAGTCTCATCAGCCCTTGTGGTCTGGTGTGTAACGAATTTTCAGCACGGATACAGATGGCTGGTGTAGGAAGGATTTGAATGTGACCAACTTGGTCTCTTGTGCTGTTACGGGTATGAATGCTGATACCACTTCACGGCTGCCCACATTGTGGAAGAGTATTTCTTGAGGAACCTGAAAAGGAAATTGGATTAGTGTTGGTCTTGACGACCTGGGAGCGTGACCGCAGAGCCTAGAGGACAACTGCTTGAGGCCGGTCACGCACGGCCTTTTTGTGGAAGGTTTTTGACGTGTTACCTCCGTTCTTCAAAGGGCCTTACCGCCGGAGACGGAAATCCGTGAGGTAAGGTGAGGTGTGACATTTTTAGGGTCGACCTCTTCTAACCCCTTCCTTCCTTGTGAGAAGGAATCATCGCTGCTGATGCTGGTTGTCCGAGGGAAACACCTTACTGCTGTCACACCCCTCTACAGTCAGCAGTACGACTTCGCCCTCAGACCTTGAGTTGCTGCTTTTAGTCTTACCGCTCACCAATCGACCTGCCTGGCATGGTAGAACCTACAGGAACATATGTTCCAGCCAATATAGCTCGGTTGGGTCATCACGATATGCGAGCCCGACCACCGCATCAAGGTGGCAGCTTCGATCGGGCATTGTAGTAATAATAATAGTAATAATGAGGGAACGAAAAGGTACAATCAGAAGAAATCTTTCAGTTAAGGGAGACACAACCACTTTTTATGAAGAAAGTAAATGAAGGTTACAGCAGGATCGCCGTTGACTTCTATTCTGAGCCATATCTGATAATGTCTCTAGCCACTGTATTGCACCATCTCTCGGACCCCAACCAGGGAGTCGTGAAGGACCAACAGAAGCCAGCCCTTTGCAGCTTTCTTTCATACCACGACACCATGTCATGCACTGACCACCTCTTCGTTTCTTCCAACCAGTCCCAACGTCGGCAAGTAGTGCACGACGTGGAATTCTCTGGGACGACATTCGTAGAACATGTCCAAGCCACCGAAGTCGGTGTTTCAAGATGGTGACACCAATTGCATTATCATCTCTGTGCCAGAACACACGATGCCGAACCTGTGCATTACTAACATGGTGTTGCCACTGGACGTCAGCAATCGTTCGGAGACAACGATGACCGAACACAGAGAGTCGTCTAACGTCCTCAACTCGGAGAGGCCAGGTTTCACAAGCATAGAGCAAAACTGCTCTCACCGACGCGTTGTAGATCCGACCTTTTACAGCCAGACTAACATCACGAAGGCGCCAAAAATGGCCCAGATTGGCATAAGCCGCTCTGGCTTTCACTATACGTACATGGATCTCATCACTCACGTCACTACCAGCACTTATGCAGCTACCCAGATACATGAACTACTTCTATCTGCTCACCATCCAGGGTGAGTACAGGATTAGAATCCTGCCAGTCTTGTAGAAGTACTTTGCACTTCGAAGGTGCAAAGCACATACCATACTTACGGACACTGATTGCCAACTGATTGAGTGCGGATTGCATGGCTTGGGCAATGTCGCACAGTAAAACAATATCATCCGCATACTCAAGGTCGAGAAGTCTTTCTCCAGGCAACAGATCCACACAGCCATTACTTACATCCATGAGAGCTGTTTCCAGAATGTCATCGATGGCAAAGTTGAAGAGGAATAGTGAGATTGGGCAACCCTGTCTAACCCCATTGCTCGAATGAAACAATGGGGAGAGGTAGTTGTATGCCCTCACTCTGCCTGAGGTGTTTTTATATAGGGCTTTTAGGATGTTAATAAACTTCTCAGGCACACCCTTCTTCAATAGACAATCCCAGAGAACAGTCCCATCCAACGAATCGAAGGCAGTCCTGATATCAAGAAACACTACGATTGTTGGTCTTTGATAAGTATGACGGTGTTCTAACATTTGGCGGAGGGTGAAGATATGATCAATACATCCTCGACCAGAACGAAACCCAGCCTACTACTCGCGAGTCAATCTTTCTCGAGTTTTGAACAACCTACGAAGCATGAGGGAAGCCAATAGCTTTGACGCAATCGGAAGTAGACCTGTCCACCGATAGTTGTTACAGGAACGACATGAAACCTTTTTAACGATAGGGACAACTATCAACTCATTACATGACGTTGGTACACTCTCTAACACCCAAACCTTTGTAAACAACGTCGTCAATTGCTTGGTCAGAGAGTCACCACCATCTTTAAAAAGAGCCGGAGGTAAGTCATCTGGGCCAGGTGATTTGTAGCGCTTCAAGAGTTGAAGTTCCTTGCGGACTTCCGCCTCATTTGGTGGATCAGTCGTCACCGGCCATGGAGGGCAGGACAGTCTGACCGATGTTGCCGGAGCAGCAGGCCAGTTGAACTGCCCTTCGAAAAATTCAATCCATCGTCCAATATGTCGATGGATGTTAGTGATTGGCATCCCATCATCCTCACAGATTGTTTCGCTCACACCACACTTCTTGTTGCCAGTGGCTCAGATGAGTTGGAAGAGCTTCCGGTTATTACCAGATGCAGCTGCTGCTTCCAACTCATTAGCACGCTTCGACCATCAGGTTTCTCGGTCCTTACGCAAGCTTTGTCCAATTTCCTTACGTAACATCCTTCGTTTGTGGTCAAACTCACGGTCACCCGTAGTAGACCGACGGGCTTCAATGAGTTGTAAGGAGCCTGAAGAAACCCAGTGCTTATGAGCAGGACGTTTCGCGAACACACAACTGACTGTACCCGCCATTTTCATGGTGTCATGCAATTGCAGCCAATGCTAATCTATACTTTCTGATTACAGCTTATAATTTTACTACATCTAGCACTACGGGATTTGAATCGAGCATTGCATCTCTGTGCTAATGTGGTGTGGCAACTCGAACTGATGTACGTAGGTGCGAAGTTCTTCGTTGTTACCGGCTGACTGACTGACTTTGAACTTCTGCTAGAGTCGGGGGACCTACTTCAATGTTCCATTCAGGCTGTCTGGGAATGGTGGGTTGTTTTAGAGTAGGTGAAGGTCAACTAAACTGTTCTCTTAAGTGTTCAGCCCATCGTTTTAAACGTCTAGACTAAGAGCAGATAAGTGTCGTCTCTTTTTTGATTTCGTCTCGCATATGACTTAATTCTTAGTTTGAAAAGTTGTCTTGTGTTACCTACAGTCACTGCCTTCTTCGTCTCTTTTTCTTTCGTTTTCCTTATACTTAGTGCTATACTTAAATCTGGTAGTCCACGAGAATTCGTTTTCAGGTCCCCAGATAAACGGAGGATGTATCTCGTCGGTTCCTTTTTTGGCTAGGTGTGGTCAAATGGATGACCACACCAGGATCCTATGTGCGTGTTTCGGAGACACAGCATACATCAATGGTAGGAAATTCTAGGGTCTTAGCCGAGTAGGCTTGTCGGCCGATTTAACACAGGGTACGTACGTTGAAGGCTACAATGTGTAGTTTGTAGCGATGTTTCAGTAGACCTGGGACGGTATTTATCGCACTAGGATCATTGGTCATAGCGACACTTGAGGAGAAAATCGAAGGAAAAAGTTTAGAGTTGACAGTCGAGGTAGGAGGAACAATAGGGATTGAAGAGGGAGATCTTTTACGAATACTGTGGTCATTAGTGCTGTCAGAAGTATGAGAGCGGTTACCACTTTCCGGTTGGTCACTCTGTGAAAGGGTTCTTCTTGAGGTATCTGGAAAGGAAATTGGTTTAGAGTTGGTCTTAGTGACCCGAGAGAGTGATCTCGGTACCAAAAGTACAACTGCTTGAGGCCGGTTGCACACGACCTTTTTGTGGGCAATTTTCGTGTTAGCTCCGTACTTGTTGAGACCTTACCGCCGGAAACGGAGATCCGTTGAATACGACGAGGTGTGCATTTTTAGTGTTGACCTTTTCTAGCCACACCCTTCTTTTGTGGGAAGGCAGCATCGCCGTTATGCTGGTTGTCTAAGGGGAACACCTTACTGCCGTTACGCCTCTGTACAATCAGCGGTACGAATTCGCCGTCGTATCTTGGATTTTCTGCTTGTAGTCTTACCGCCATTCAACAGACCTACCTGTTATGGTAGGACCTTGAGAAGCGATTGTTCCAGCCAGTATAACCTGACTGGTTCATCACGATAGGCAAGCCCGATCATCACGTCAAGGTAGTAGCAACGGTGGGGCGTTTTTTTAGCAAATCTTTTCCTACGGAGTGGTGTTGTTAACTCCATCCTCTTCCACTCCTTTATTTGGTCTCGAAACCGCTAGTAACTTTAGAAGGGTTTCAGTTAGAGTTTGGCTCTTTATGTTCTATATTTTGTATGTTTTTACCTTTTATTATAGAGTTGACACAAATGTGCAGCGGTTCATTTTGTAAGCATTTTAATAAAAAAACTACATAATAAAATTTGTTTGAAAAATTTAAACATGTAGAATGCAGGAAAAATAAGCAAAATAAAATGTTTTACGAAAAGAGCGAATTTTTATTTTATTTCGCTTATTTTTTCTGAATCCTTTCCAAGCTAATTACATGCTAAATTTAGTGTGTATCTTTTTATTAAAACATTTGCAACATGAACTTCTTCACATTTGTGTTAACTCCATAACTAAGGGGAAAATATATTTAATGGTATTTCTAAAAAAGAATAGAAATCATGGAACTGTGCATAGAATCAGTCATTTCCATCCTGTAATTAAAAAATGTACTATTACATACCAGCTTTCACTCAATTTTTACTATTATAAGTAATTCTCTGTTTTGATAAGTATATTATTGTTTCTTCTGTTTCTAGGACTCAACATGGTAAAAATGATAGTAATCGAACAGAGACTGATATACATCAACAAACAAGTTGTATTGGCAATAATGCTAACATTCAGTACATCCACTTGAAATCTAAAGTCGATCTGCCTTTTTCAAATGTGGATTCTATTGGTGACGGTATAACTTCCGTCACGTCATCACAAAACTCCATTTCTGCACCTGTTGTTCACTTAGCAGCGTTTCCAGCTGTAGAGCGTGGAGATCAGTTCACGAAACCCCCATACTCTTATGCTCAACTTATTGCTCAGGCAATCTCAAGTCAGCCAGATCGTAAACTTACTTTGAGTGGGATTTATGATTTCATTAGTAGAAATTATTCATATTATCAATTAGCTGATAAAGGCTGGCAAAATTCAATTAGGCATAATTTGTCACTTAATTGTCAGTTCGTAAAAGTAAGTATGTATCTAAACGTTTCCTTATTATTTAAGTTATAATTATTAGTGTATAAACTGCACAAGTTGTTTATTTCAGAATAATCTCATTATTTAGACACTTTTTTAGCACAATACGCTTTTCAATGTCCTTTTGTAATGAAATTGTGGTTTATATGATCCTTTCGTGATTTAGTTCCAGCCACTGTCCTTACAGTTTTGTTTCGACTCCTTCATTTAACAAAGTGTAAACAGAGTAATGACAAGTTTTTGTTTTGATTTCCCGTTTCATTACTAACGCAATACAAGTAAAAATCTTGACTGAAAGATTAAGTTAGTGACTTCGGTCAGTAGTGGATAATTGAAACATTAGGAAATTCGAGCTCTTGCTGTACGTTCCAAACAGCACAGTGTGTGTTGATACTATCATATCATTCAAGCACCTATAGTTTAGAGTTGAGTATCTGTACTAGTGGTGTGTATCTACGTAAAACTTAATCAACCACAATTTCATTATAATAAGCACTTTTGTCTTTTTAACCTGATTTTATTCATTAAGTCATCCGTTTTTAAAATGTCCATGCAAAATTTGTTTACAGTCACTGCTTCATGGTTCTATTTATTTTAGTTTATGCGTGTCCCTGCTTATACAATAGAAGTTTTATTCTTTTATCGTTCTTAGTCGATTCAAAAATAAAATTTAAAAATCCATCAATGAGAAGTATTCTTTATTTACGATTTGTGGATTTGACAACTATGTTTCTGCAAGTTCTTTTTCATTGCTTTGAATATCTCGATTCAGCTTTAACAAGCCAGATTTTATCCTCAATGTTTGGTAGATGAATTCATAGTCTTAGTTGGTGATATTCGGTTTCGATTTTCTAATTTGTTCTAACATTGAGTTTATTCCCACGTCTGATACACTTATTTACCATCATTTTCAGTAACCTCGGTATGTTAGGCCAATTTTCTAGCTGAATACGGGATTATAAATTCTATTGTAAATAAACCTTATTGCGATGATTGTTCAATTGTCCAAATAGATGTAAATGGTGCGAAGCTGATGATGAAAAACTGGTTAAAACGGATTATTTTACAATTGTGTCGTTCAGACTCCACCTTAAAATTTTATGAATAAAAGAAAAAATGACCTGTTTAGCGTTAGGAGTAACATGGAATTTTTCAGTTTTTTTACTACACATACTTCTACCAACGTGTTTGTTTCATTGAAAAGGTTTTAACTGATTAATATCTGCAGATTTTGTTGCAACAATGAATCGATAATCTGAACGTTGAAACTGGATTTTGAATTGCAAAACGGAACTCTGTTATCGAACCACTACTGTTATAATTCTCTCTTATTACAACCCAGCTATTCCTATTACTTAGTATTCTCGGACACCAAATCACTCGACAAGTCCCCAAGTCAGAACACGGTTGAACAGGAAAGAGATTATATTCTAAATAACAAGGTTAGATGGAAGTAAGAAGCACAATAGGAAAAACGTTAGTATATTTATAGTTTTTACATGAGAAGATTTCTGGAGTATTCTCCAAGTATCGACTACTGCTGATTGGCTAATTCTTATCCAATCAGCGGGCACCAAAGTAATCGTGCATTGAGCCTGCCTTAATCCAGTTCATGTCCCACTAACAACTACTAACTAGAGAAACCAGTCAGTTAATCACAAGTAATGTAAAAAGTGATACAAAGGTTTATCAGTTCAAATAGCTATAGCTTATCAGGCCAACATAAAAACTAGCAAAAGACGAAACAAAGCTTTTAGCGTTTTTTTAGCAAGTTAGTTTTCCTTATTTTATTTATTCATTTGAACACATAAATATTGGTACAAGAGGGCACCAAATTTATATGCGCCACACAGTTAGTTTTTCATGGGATGTGGTCACTAACCCCATGCCCAACCCTCCTTTATCCGGGCTTGGGACCGGCAATAGCCCCAGAAGTGTCGGTTGGAGTTATGAAACAAAGAGCAGACAATAATATTAACTCCAGTGAGAAGTAATTAGTAAGAAGTATGGTTCGTAAAGGTTCCATATGATCGGTCGAAACATGGAAAGTGTGGAATTAAACTAAGCTCAAGATTTGAAGAAGATATAAAATGGATACAACTACACCACTTTGACGGACTTTTGACCAGTATTTCTAGCCAAGTACACGTCCATATATATCTGGTTAAATCATCTATCATTTTTAGGTTAATCACACTAGACTGATCAAATATCACTGTCCAAACTAGTGATTACTTAAAAGTTAAATACCTAAAACATTGGGCAAGTAAGCTATTAGTTGATGTGATTTTAAGATGCTAGCTAGCAAACATCTAACTAAATCGCTCGAATAAATAAATGCTCAGTGAGCAAAATTTAAGTTTTAACTCAGTGAATATCTGAATCACTACTTATTTGATTGCATTATTTTTGGGAAAGTAAATCCTCTTACATAGTATAATTCTAGTCGTAGTACTGAGTGTCAGGTAAATTCTTTTTCGGTTAAAGGTCATTTAAATCTAGGAGACAGCGATGGGATGGTTATCCTTCTCACATCATAGGAAGCAGCCTGCGCATTATTACTGAGTCGAATTATTTTTACATAGTTAATAATCAGTCATTGGGACCACTATTTACTCAATTAAAAAAACCACCTTCTGAACATTTGTCTCATTTAATGAATGTAGATGGAGCTTTATATCTCGCTTCATAGATCTGTTGACATCATTTTCCGTTGTACATATATTTGTTTATCAGCACTTTATGTGTGACTATTTTTATTGTGTACAGATTAAAACCAAAAACAAGCACACATGTGTATTAATACTTTATTGTTGCAGGATTTTTCATAATTTCGTGTTGTAATTTATATTCCTCCAGGTTCCTCGTTCACAAGAAGATCATGGTAAGGGTTGTTTCTGGAGAATCGATCCAGAGCATGAAGCTAAATTGTTAAATATCGCTTTCCGTAAACGTCGTATAAGAGCTTGTGATACAAGTTCATTTTTAACAAGTAATCGATATCCATTGACATCATTATCTTCAAATGGGAAATTTTATAATTATATTATTCCAAAATCATTAATAAATCAATCACACAATAGTTCGGTCATAATGTCAACAGGCGGTATTCATTTACGAAAATCATATAAACGATCAAACAAATCTCCTGACCAACTAAAAACTCCTTACAAACTTGCATTATCGTCCTCATCACTTGATGTAAACATACAACATACACCGCTAACTCAAAACAAGGAAGATAGTTTAAATGTGATTACTTTCCAACCTGTCGTTCATAATTTGGTTCCAGTTAATCAAGGTTAGTTGTGATATTGATTTTAACTGCTCCCCTACCCTCGTTCTGTCACTAGTCAAATTGGTACCTGCTAATGCTCTACTATCTTGTAATTAGAGACAATAAAGTTATGACTTCATGAATCAGGGATTAAACCCTAGCTTTATATAGCGAGTTTTATATGTTCATTAGATGATAAGGGTGTTTGCATAGTCTGGTACCCAATCTTACACATGACTGCCACATTGCAGTTTTCACTTTGTATCTATATGAAATTAAAATTAAATGTTTGCTATCAAATGCTAATCGTCGATGTTAACCTTGAGATTTAAAGAATTTTGACTAACTACCTGTATTTCTATCAGTAAAGGAATCCAAAGAATAAAGGATTAGTAAATAGTGACTAACATACAGATTATTTCTGAATTTTGAGTAAATCTTTTACGTCAAAAACGTATTCCTCAGGTATTGGTGGCTAAAAGATTTCTTATGCATATTAGTTTTAATAACAATTTTATTGTTTACATTCCCTAAAATTATGTAATCCTCTCTATTTCTTACTACTCAAGTCAGTAGTGACCGTTCACACTAACTATGTTATCGAAATTTACATTTTTTTTTATCTCCGTTTATTAAATATCACCCATTTTTATGCCGTTTGTGCCCTAAAAATACATGTTTGATATTATTAATGATTGTATGCTTGGTTTAGACTCTAACTGAAAAAAATTCACAAGAAGACTTCATTTTCTTTTTAGAAAATAACATTCTTCACTTAACACTTATGTCCTAATTAAAGCTAGTCATTTTTCAAGATTGCGTACATTTTCTTATTCGAATCATTTCTTACCATATATTAGATATGTACTACATCGTTATGCAAGTATACGTTTTTTTCCTTTCATTTCAGCGTCCTCTTCCGTTCTACGGATTATGAACACTAAACCTATACTAACAACTACTTTCAAGTCAAGTCATCATAAAGAAGACCAGTATAATATTTCATCTTATCATGCTGGTCCTGTTATTGTACAACAGCCTACTTATTCTTTACTATCTTATTCTAATTCCTCCCAGGATACAACTGTATTCCATCAGAACAGTAGTGGTACAAATTGACAACATAGCTGTTTTTCTGTTTACACACAGTGATGTGATCACCTTTAAAAAGCTTAATTGCTATCGTGTTTAACAGCTGATGCTTTTTTTACCTGGACAAAATATGAGTTTTTATCCTTTTTACAATTTAACTAATATAGTTTCTTTTATTAGTGATCATTTATTAGCTATGAAGAACTGGAAAAACAATTGGCTGTGCAAAGTGCTTTTATATGTATTTCTGCATTTTCTTACTGATTTTATTTTTAATTACTGCATTCGTATCATTTATATCAATCTCCGTCGTTTCTATTTATGTGAATATCATTTCAGCTCCCTCTTCCCTTTGTTTTTCTCCTGTCCTGTTTCATTGTTTATGATTACCCCTCCGTTGTTTCCTTTTATAGTCACAATCACTACGTTGCACACATATACATGCATATCTGTCTTTAGACAATCACTCATTTATTTTTCTATAGGTGATAATTTTCATAGTAAAAAATGGTATTAATTGCTAAACATTTAAAGCAATCATGCTGATGATTTGACAATTTCTTTGTTTGTTATTTCCAAAATTAATTGTTTGGGCTATACGAAATATAAGCAATGATATACAATACCAACCCAGGACATCTGTAATGCGTTTCATCATAGGCTATTACGTTAAATCAAAAAGGCTTAACTAGTAATGCATATTGTTAAGTGAAGTTGTGAACTGTTGTTGGTTGGAATGATGGACGCAAGGGTCACACTTAATTTTATTTAGTTAAACACATAGACAATGGCACCAAAATATAAATGTGCCACACAAGAGAAATGAGATCGAGAAAGGAAGGTCAGTATAATAAAAAACTAATTGAATAAGAGTAAAAGATAACGCGAAAAGCAGTTCAGTTAAGGAAAATACAACCAGAAATGATTCTTTCAGTTAAAGTTCCTCTCACTTATATGAAGAAAGTAGAAAGCCACAGCAGGACTACCACTAGCTTCTATTCTGAACCATGTTTGGTAAAGTCTGGGGCCACCAAGCTGCACTATCAAGAATCTCAAACAGGTCGTTGTGAAGGATCAACAGTTCTGTACAGACTTTTTTCATAAGACGACACTATGTCATACACTAAGTACATTTCCTCTTTACAGCCAGTTCCAGCGTTGGTCAACAATATATAATGTGGAATTTGCTTAAATGACATTCGTAGCACTTGTCCAAGCTACCAAAACCGGTGTTTCAAGATGGTGATGCCAACCGAATTATTATCACTGCCTGGGCACACATTGCCGCCACTGAACGTCAGTAATCCTTTGGAAACAACAATGATTGGACACAGTCGTCTTGCATCCTCAACTCGGAGAGGTCAGGTCTTACAAGCATAGAGTAAGATTGCTCTCACTGACGCATGGTAGGTCTGATCTTTAACAGCCAAATTAACATCATGGTGCCAAAGATGGCCCAGCTTGGCATAAGCTGCTCTCGTTTTCACTATACATGGATTGGTCTCATCAAACACGCCACCACCAGCGCTTAGCTATCCATATACATGATCTTCTCGACCACTTCTACCTGCTCACTACCAAGAGTGGACGCAAGTTCAGGATCCTCCCAGTTTTGTAAAAGTACTATTCACTTAGAAAGTGGAAAACACACACCATACCCACGGACATTGTCAACTGATTAAGTGCGGATCGCATGGCTTGGTTATCATCGCACAGTGAAACAATATCATCTACATACTCAAGATCGAAAAGTCCTTCTCCAGGCAACAGATCCACACCACTATTACCTACATCAATCAGAGCTGTTTACAGTCCATCATCGATAACAAAGTTGGAGAGAAATGGTGAGATTGGACAACCCTGCCTAACCCCACTGCTCGAATTAAAGAGGTGGTTGTATCCATTTATTCTGCCTGAGGTATTTGTATTCAGAACCTTCAGGATGTTAATAAACTTTCTAGATACCCTCCCCCCGACTTCAGTAGACGATCCCAGAGAACAGTGCTGTCCAACGAATCGAAGGTGGCTCTAATTTCAAGAAACAACAATTGTTGACCTGTAATAAGTATGGGGGTGTCCTAACATTTAGCGGAGGGTGAAGATATGATCTTTTATTTATATGCGCCACATATTAACGATGAGGCCAATAGTAGTTATCATTGATCGACGAGGTCTTGATCATATTTTCCCTTCTTAGGTTTAAGCACACGAGATTTGAACAATCTGCGATATACGACGGGAGTTAATAATGTGAACGCAATCGGAAGTAGACTTATCCCTCGATAGTTGTTCCATAGGTGACGTGAACTCTTTTAAAGGATAGTGGTAGCTATCAACTTATTCCACGATGTCGGAACACTGATTGCAAATAACTTGGTCAGTTCCATAATCAGTAGGTCGCTACCATCCTCAGAAAGCGCCGAATATAATTCAAATGGGCCTGATGATTTGTGGCGTTTCAAGAGTTGAGGTTTCTTGCGCACTCCCTCCTGTTTTGATGGATTAGTTGACACTGCGCAGGGAGGACAAAACAATCTGGTCGATGTCGCCAGGGCAGAAAACCAGCTAAACTGTTATTCGAAAAACTCTGTCCAGCGTCTAGGATGTTGATTGGTGTCCCATCCACTTCACAGATCACTTGCTGTCAGTAGCATGGATGGGTTAAAACAGATTGAAGTTAATCTGATAATTAAATTTGCTCAATGAAATATGCGAGATATAAATTATGCTCAACATGTATTCAATTACTAGATCAAAGTGGCTACGTATAATATGTCGTTCAGTCAGCCGCTCAGCTGAATCTTATGTAATTTTATACTCTTTGAATCTTTTCAAACCTTTATTTTCGTCACCGTATAAAAGCAAAGTGCTCTAGATATCAGGCTTTCTGTTTACATTATTGGCCGAGTATCACGTCTAATTTTTTATAGAGCGGAGGATATATGCTTAACATAAAATTGTTTTGGTTGTAAATGTTAGTGGGATGTTCACACATTAAGCTTCATTTTACCCTTGAATTAGTTTGGACCTTAGATCCAGTGACTAGATGCACAAACACAGATTAGTAATATCATTTGTACACTCAGATAACTTCAGGTAGCTCCAAGCGTTTAGCGAGGTAGCCCGCTCTCAGACACTTATCTGATGGAATCTTTCGAAGACCTTTTTTACCTAATATTTAAATACAAAGAAGCTAACTACAGGTTAGTTACTGTTCAAGATTTTGTGCTGTTTATATACGTCTAGACGAATAACTGTTCCCTCAAGATTATTTATAGGTGTGTCTCTTGGATTCCAACAATGATTTTGTAACTTGAACTAATTATCACTTTTAGATATGCGAGGTATGACTAGCAGTTTGCATACAAGGCTACAATAAATATGGATGACTTCCAAAGATGTTGGATGCAAATAGTAACTGCAATGGTCGAGACAGTCAGTCTTGAGATCTAAGCAGAAGAGTTAAACTATGTTGAACAGTGCATTGATAACCTTATTAGAATAATTTTCAAACGTAGACAATAACTGTAGCTGAAACTGCGTGTTGATCTCCAAATTAATGTTCTACGTACTTTAATTTGTAAATTAACGTTGGTTTAAGACAGCATTTTCAGTTAGAAGTATTACATCAACCCATTGTCTAAATGGCTTAAATATAAACTTGGTTGCTTCGAACTTGGTATTCATTGGCAGTTCCTGTAAATAGATTCAATCTGTTGTGATAACAAACTAATCGTAAGGCTGCAAGGGAAACCAACTTAAGAAAGTATGCTTAAAGAAAACTAGGTAAGAAATATCTTTCTGAATATTCACCGTAGACACACAACCTTTTTCGAACAGCCATCAGTTTTTTTTTATTTATTATTCCCTAAACGATACTTTATTATAACTTAGAACCAATTTATTGAACATATGAACACGGTTTCCAAATGAAAAAAATGAAGCTAGTGACTGTAACGCGCGTTTGTTTTATAAATGTAGGTATTAATAGACCACACTTGCTAATAACGCGTCAATCAGTTGAAATGTGTTTAAGATTTAAAGTCACTTTTAGAGTATTTATAAAGCGGTATAGTGTAATAAGACGTAGGTTATCAGAACTATGTGAAATATTGGCGCAATACATTTCGAACAATCTGATCATACAGTCCTGATAATGTTCGTCCTCTTATTACACTATCCAAATTTATCAAAGGGACTAATTGCTCCGAAGTTGTCTAAGTTAAATTTATTAGCACGACCTCTGGGTCAGTTTATTAGTGGAATGAAACCGTTAGCTTAGATATACATTGTAAAACAGTTAACTAAAAACGAACTGCAAACAACTTCATTTATCAGTCTTATATTTGTATGCAAACTTTATAATTTAACTTGATCTAGTTGTTGTTGGAATTTTTTTATACAGGAAATGTTAGCTTTGAAAAACTATTTGACTGTTGAATGGTAAAGGCATACTAACTTAATTGTCGTTCGTTTTTTCCTATATTTTAGTAAACGGTTCATACACCTTAATCCATTTATTTTGCCAGATAGTGATAGGGATTAATTGAGCATTACTGGTATCAAAAAAAAGAAAGAATACTAGTATTTATCGCTACTAGATCATAACATTTGATTGCATAATACTGTATAGACAACGGACACTTGAATTAACTGTTACACACGTTTATTTACAGCATAAATCGGAAATAATTTGAAGGGAAAAGTCTTAATACCGATAACAGTAATTATATGACATTGAAATAATGCAATAAATTTACACTTGGTTCAAAAGAATAAAAACATATTTTACTGTTTTTATGGTGATACAAGTTGTCACTACATAAAGCTTTTCGGATACGTTGTTCCTAAATTATTGTTCATTCCAGTTTGAAAAGGCATAAACATTCAAATATAAGTTACATTATGATTTTTTTGAAAATCAGAAATTCGGGAGTAAAACATTTATTCGCCTTACATTATCTTATTAATTGCTTTTAAAAACAGAAAAAAAAGTGATTAAAACTGTCACATAGCTCTAAAAAAACGTTCGTTCATAAAAAGAAATTAAGGATTCGACGATGAGGTGTTGAAAACTGAGCAATCATATTCAAAATTATTGGTCATTCATTTTTTTAACGTCAGGGTTTAGGTTAGTCTAAACGAATCAACATAATTGAACAGTATGAACACATCAACCTTGAGTAATAAAGAAGAAAAATGTATATTAGTCAAATAAACCGATTGAGTTTTAGCAAATGATAAATTTGGAAAATAGTGACAAGTATTTCTAGTGGGAAAAATCTGGATTTGGAATCTAGTCCGCTTAAAATTGACTATTAGTGTACTTGCCTTTATTACAGAAGGATGAAATTGCATGTATAACAGGAATTTGTGAAAAGAATTATTTTAAGTATCCACTATACCAATGAGGAAGGACAGACGACAGAATTCAGTAAACAATAGCGAATACATAATATAAAACAGTTTACTATCAGTAAGAAATTAGTTTACTTTGGTTTCAATTCAGTGTCAATGCAAATAACTATTTTGGACAGTGACTCAGGTTTGTATCATTAATGTCTTGTTAATGAAGAACATCAACAGGTTCTGTTTCGAAGTTATAGTGCGCTCCAGTTGCCAGCATCTG